TGACCAGACTCCTGAATCAACAGACTTGGTTGATCAGGAAAATAAAAAATCCGAATTAGATCTTGAATATCCAATTTTGACAGATCCACTAGAAGTCTGTCCTGTCACAACCCCCTGCCCAGACTCATTTGCATGTAATAGCCCGGCCATACATGGCAACAGAATTGATGAATTTAGTACAGCAATTTCGGCAGAAGCCTAGAGAAAGTGTGCCGGCTTAGTTATGAAGACTGTGGGATTCTGGGGCAGGAAATGTTTTGGTGAATGGTCCAGAAATAGCCAAGTAGGCCACCATGACTGTCCATCCTGCTCTCAGGCAGAGGTTATATGCGAGTAATCAATATCTTGATGAAAACCTTTCTATAATAGAATGGTTAATGGTAGCCTGCCGTAAGGTATGGCCGAATAAATTGGATATGCCTCTACATACAGGGGTGTGGTCCTCCATGGAGGACCTTCACAATTATACCTGTGAGCTGGGCGTAAGGGAAACATCTATGAAGACACATTTGATGGCCCTGATATGGTCAAATTTTCACCAGGGATGAGAGACTTGATTCTACAGCAAGCTCCCTCTCATCTGTATGGTAGTCTAGTCTCTGTATTAAATCCCCTGGTGGCCTCAGAAGCTGTAGTCCAGCAGGCTGCCCAGTTAGTGGCCAACCTAGGAGAAACAGAATGCCTGTGAACTAGGCACAATATTCGGATGTTGGAGGAAGCAGAGGTCCTGCTGGTAAGTAAAACCAAAATGCTGGCTATTCGAGCTCCTCAATCGGGACCCACAAGGGTCTCCCAAAAACAAACGTTTAATGATTTAATTCGGGCTGGAGTCCAATTTGCCAAGATTGACCACCAGCCCAACCATGTCCTTCTCCAGCTCTGGTGACAACTAAAGGAGAATCAAAAATTTCAGAACTACCCTAAGAAATCAAGGGTAAGGGTTATAGAAAGAATACCAACAATGACATGGAACCTAGAAGATTTTGTTTTTCCTAATAGGAAAAAAAAAGCTGCCTCAGGTGTCTCGGGCCACAGTGCCTGAGCCATTGGAAGCAAAAGAATTGGCCTTAGCACAGTTCATGGCGTGACAAAGGATGTTAGTCCCCCTGGGGCCTCCAGACAGGACTGTAGGCCCTATGTAGAATTAACGACTTATTGGTCCCAGAAAAATATTCAGAGAGTTATGGCGTTAGTGGACACCGGAGCAGAAACATCAATTATCTACAGAGATCCGACCAAATTTGGTGGGGACAGAGTGATGACTGGTGGTTTTGGGGGAACAGACTATTCCTGTCACCCAAACATGGTTAAAACTGGCAGTTGGGCGTCTCCCACCCTGGGAGTACAAGGTGTCTATTGCCCCAGACCAAGAATACATCCTGGGCATAGATATTCGATGGGGTCTGGCTCTCCAGACAACTGTGGGAGAGTTCATACTTTGACAGAGATCTATCAGTATCTGGGAGGTGCAGGATGGGCCTACTTGCCTGCCAAAACTGTGCCGGATTACTAGTGTGAGACCGTATAGACTCCTGGGTGGGCAAAATGAAATATCAAGAATGGTGCAGGAATTAGAAAAAGTGGGCATTATGAGACCTGCACACAGCCCATATAACTCCCCCATATGGTCAGTGTGAAAGTCAGATGGCACACGGAGAATGACAGTAGATGACAGAGAATTAAATAAGGTCATGCTGCCAATTCATGCAGCCGTGCCCAATATTGCCTCCCTAATGGACACATTGAGTAGGGAGATAAAAACCTATCATTGTGTCCTAGATCTAGCAAATGCATTCTTCAGTATCCCAATTGCTGAGCAATCACAAAATCAGTTTGCGTTTACGTGGGGAGGCAGGCAGTGTACCTTTCAGGTCCTGCCACAGGGGTACGTGCATTCACCAACATATTGTCACAATCTAGTGGCACGTGACATGGCTGATTGGAGAAAACCTGATGATGTTAATGTATAGCATTATACTGATGATCTCCTGCTGACATCCGACTCACTGGAGGCAATAGGACAGGCGGCAGATTCATTAACTGCCTATTTACAACAGAGGGGATGGGCTATAAATCCCCAAAAGGTGCAAGGTCCGGGCCTGTCCGTAAAATTCCTGGGGGTGGTTTGGTCAGGAAAGACCAAAGTGCTACCCAGTACTGTCATAGATAAGGTTCAGGTGTTCCCAGTCCCTACAACATCAAAGCAGCTGCAAGAGTTTCTAGGTATATTGGGTTACTGGTGCTCCTTTATACCTTACTTAGTGCAGCTGCTAAGGCCACTACATAGACTCACAAAAAAGGGGCAGCTATGGGACTGGGGGAAAACCAAACAGGATGCTTTCCAACAAGCAAAACTTGCAGTTAAACAAGCCCAGGCATTGGGTATATTTGATCCTACCCTCTCAGCCGAGTTGGATGTTCATGTTACTCAAGATGGCTTTGGTTGGGGCCTGTGGCAACACAGAATTCTGTTTGGACCCCCATTGGTTTCTGGTCTTGGGTTTGGCATGGAGCAGAAGAAAGGTACAGTGTGATTGAAAAGCAGTTATTGGCTGCCTATTCGTCATTACAGGCATTAGAGCCAATAACTCAAACAGTTGAAGTTATAGACAAGACCGCTCTGCCGATTCAGGGGTGGGTGAAAGATCTGACCCACCTTCCTAAGACAGGGGTGGCCCAAGCACAAACAGTGGCACGATGGGTCGCCTGCCTCAGCCAAAGGAGCAGTCTGTCTTCATCACCCTTGAAAGAACAACTCCAGAAGATCCTAGACCCAGTGACGTATCACAGTGATGCACCAAAAGAAATACTGGTCGCTCCACCAAGGAAGCATGCTGTTCAAGAGGGAAAATATCCTTTCCCTGAAGATGCCTGGTACACAGATGGGCAAAAAAAAGGCAACCTGAGCAAGTGGAGAACAATAGCATACCATCCTTCCACCGAGACAATCTGGTTCAATGGGGGGGACGGTCAGAGCAGCCAATGGGCAGAAGTGCAAGCCGTGTGGATGGTTATAACCAAGGAACCCGGTGATGGTATCCTGAACATCTGCACAGATAGTTGAGCTGTGTACCGGGGGCTCACTCTTTGGATTGCACAGTGGGCCACCCAGGAATGGACTATCCATGCCCAACCGATCTGGGGCAAAGACATGTGGTTAGATATATGGAATACGGTCAAACACAGGACTGTACGTGTCTACCATCAGCCCCTATGTAGGTCATCAGCCCCTACAGTCACTGGGAAACGATGAAGCTGACATGCTGGCCCAAGTTCAGTGGATTGAGAATTCACCACCTGAGAGCATCGCCCATTGGTTACATCAGAAGCTATGGCATGCTGGACAAAAGACAATGTGGGCAGCTGCTAAAGCATGGGGACTGCCCATACAACTATCTGATATCGTCCAGGCATGCCAGGATTGCGACGCTTGCTCCAAGATGAGACTGAGATCGTTGCCTGAAACAACAGCCCATCTTGCTAGAGGACACAGTCTTCTCCAGCAATGGCAGGTTGATTACACTGGGCCCCTTACTTGCTCTGAGGGGGCAAGATATGTCCTGAACTGCGGCGAGACTGCAAGTGGGCTACTGCAGGCCTATCCAGTACTGAGAGCAAACCAGGCATATACCATCAAGGCACTCACTAAACTGATATCTGCCTACGGGACACCTCAAGTCATCGAGAGCGACCAAGGGACTCATTTTACTGGTGCAATGATACAGCAGTGAGCAGAAGAAAATAACATTGAATGGTGATTCCATCTGCCATATAATCCAACGGGGGCAGGCCTCATCGAACGTTATAACGGTATTCTTAAGGCTGCCCTGAAGACAGACTCCCAGACCCTGCAGGGGTGGACAAAAAGACTGTATGAAACCCTGCTGGACCTGAACGAGAGACCCCGAGATGGCAAACCCAGTGCCCTAAGAATGTTGCAGATGACATGGGCCACCCCGGCTAGGATCCAAATTATGGGCACTGATCATCAGGTAAGACCCCAGATTGGTAATGAAAATAATACTCTGCTCCCTGCCTCTGAGAATTTAGATCCAGGTACCCATTAAGTAAAATGGCCCTGGAAGGTGCAGTAGGACCCAAGTGGTGTGGCCTACTTGCACCTTGGGGGAGGATTGTAGGAGGCGGGAGGCTCAGTAATCCCTCCAGTAATAGGTACATGGCCTACTGATATTGTGGTCAACACTCTGATATTTATTGCTAAGGGGACCCCCATCATGTCCCTGTGGCAGATAAGGACACCTCCTTTGGTGCCTGATCTCATTATGCAGCCGCAGACATCTGTCCAGAAGGTGTGGTACAGGCAGCCAGGACGTGCCCCAGTACAATTGGAAGTGTTGACCCAGGATAGAAATATGGCCTGTATCTTGCTCTGGAGAGCAGACCTTCCCATCCTGGAACCTCTGAAACATCTGTATGTTCAGTATGTATATCCTCTGAAACAGACTCCCGTGAGTCTGAGCCTTCAGGATCACCGGAAGGAACAAAATGCCATCAAGTGTTCCAGTGTTGCTGTCACATCATGTACAACGCCTGGTGATGGTCTGCATGGGACTGATGGGACACAGAACGGACCTGCACCTCAGGACCTCATGCCTCCAGTCACATCACCGAGCACTGGCCCATAGAAGAATATGGACATCCACTGATCATCTTGAATTGATCTGATCGTCTTGAATTGTACCAACACGTGTTGCGATGAAAACTGTATAAGCATCGCGACATAGTGGATCTCTGTATTAGGGAAAGCTTACCCTTTAATTAACCTGATCATTGGTTCATGCTGTGAAGGGGTGGAATGTATGAGAACTACTGAGTTATGGCCTGAACCTCTGATTGATACCTGAGGTGAGCCATGAGTCAGCCAGAGGAGCACAGGTGAAGGCAATACACCTGTGATGCCAGAAGGGGTGGAGCCTGGCTGCACCCCTCCTAGACCTATTTAAGAGCTGGCTGCCAGTGGGGAAGGATCTCTTCTGGAGATCGGCTCTGCTGGTGTTTTGTGAGTGAGCCCAGGATAGGGGTAAGCTTTCTGTCCATTCTCTTTTTATTATCATTATCTGCTTTGCCTAACTCTCTTGTTTATTTTGTAATTGTAACATCCTAATATTCATTGATTATACTGACGCCCATCTTCAAAAAGGGCCAGAAAGATGATTCTGGTAGCTACAGATCAGTCTCACCTTGGTGCCAGGAAAGGCAATCTTGGGAGTCATCATGGATCAATTAAAGGTAAACCAAGGGATCCTGTTTGACAAACCTGATTTCTTTCTATGACAAGGTGACCCACTTAGTGGACGAAGGTAAGGCTGTCAGTGGTGTCCACCTGGACTTCAGTAAAGCCTTTGACACTGTCACTGGATAGACTGGATTGATGCACCAAGGTAAACTGTATGAGTTTCAATAGAGCCAAATGTCGGGTCTTGCATTTCAGGCACAACAATACCAGGCAACTCTACAGGTTTGGGGAGGAGTGGCTGGAAAGCTGCCTCAAGGAAAGGGACCTTAGTGTACTGATGGACATTTGACTGAATATGAGCCAGCAGTTTGCCCAGGTGGCTAAGGCGGCCAGTGGCATCCTGGCTTGTATCAGGAACGCTGTAGTGAGCAGTACTAGGGAAGTCATCCTGCCTGTACTCGGCACTGGTGAGGCCTCACCTCAAGTACCGTGTTCAATTTTGAGCACCTCAGTACAGAAGTGCTGCACCTCAGTACATTGAGGTTCTGGAGCAGGTCCAAACAAGGGCAACAAGGCTTGTGAAGGGCTTAGAGAATATGCCTTACAAGGAGAGACTGAAGGAACTGGGGCTGTTTAGTCTGGGGAAAAGGAGGCTGAGGGGAGATGTATTGCTCTAAGTACCTGAAAGCTGATTGCAGTGAGGGTAGGGCTGGTCTCTTCTCACTGGTGACAGGAGGAGGGAAATGGCCTCAAGTTGTGCCAGAAGAGGTTTTTAGACTGGATATCAGGAAAAGCGTCTTTATCAGAAGGGTGATTAAGCACTGGAATAGGTTCCGCAGGGTGGTGGTTAAGTCACCATCCCTGAATGCATTTAAAAACCATTTGGATGTGGTGCTCAGGGACATGATTTAGCAGAGGTTGTTAGAGTTATTGGTAGAATGGCTAAGCTGCGGTTGGACTTGATGATCTTTAAGGTCTTTTCCAACCTGAGCAATTTTATGATTCTGTGATTTAATAACAGAAGACTTTTGTTCTGCTCCTTATTTGTCACATTCTTCTACATAATGCTGGCCTTTGTTCTCTGCCACTCCCTGGGTGAGTGGTCCCTGGCCAAGACTGTTGCTGCACAGTGACCTTGGAGCCATCAGTGCTCAGTGGAATGGCTCCAGTCCAGGACTCCAAGCTCATTTTTACAACCGCATCATTTACTTCAATAGCACACACACATGCAGAAAACCATTTCAGTGTTTTCCACTACATCAAGATGCAGAAGTGGTAAGCAAAGCTTAAATGGTGAAGATGTGGCTCATAAAAACAGCCACAAATCAAGACAAGGCATCTTCAAAGTCAATCTTTAGCTGCTTTCATCTGCCTCGCTTTTACCTTGCTGTGGTATGGAGAGAAATGGTCTAAAACAGATTATTCACAGTATAAAGCATCCCTATTATAACACGTGCAAACATAATTCAAACTGCAGCACAAGTCCCTTCTATCCTCATCCCCTCTGCAAGCCTGTGACTATCACCTACCACAGGCTTCCCCCTACTGTGTCCTCCAGTCAATCCTCCCTGCCTCTAACTCCCTCACAATGCATCACGAGCAGTTTTAATGCAGGCACTAACCTCCTTTTGTGGAGGAGTACAGGAGTGCTTGAAGCACACACAGTGCTTGTGCATCTAAGCTTAGACAAGCTGGCCTTGTAAATCTTCAATCTATGCAATGCTAGACAGTGGTTTGCCTGGATAAACAAAGTTAAGGGCACATTCTTTGGCCTTACAAACTTAACCAAGCCAACCACATTAGATGTGTCACCCTTTGATACTGGGGGCAGCCTTCCTAGCTGGGCAGGAAGCCTCCCCAGCAGTGGGGTGCAGGCCCAGTCATTTTCCTGCCTCTTAGGGAGCAGCACTGGGACATGCTTTCTCCATTTCTGCTCTTCACCATACATGAGACACTCCCTGATGCACGAGTTACTGACCAAGGCACTGAAAGGGAGGCAGGGAGGAAGAACACTTGATACTACAAGAAATATTGGAACTGACATCTAGGCAAAGCCCTTCTGCCAACGCCTTGCTGCCCTGATCAACCCAATCCCCAATGGCAGCCTCACCTCTCCCACCCCACTCAAGTATTTGTCCCCTTGCCCCAGAGACATCCCAGCCATGAGCCCCTCCGGAGCAGACACAGCCTAAGAAGCCATGCAGGCCCAAAGCAGCTAACAAGCAGAGAGCAGAACCACAATCCAGCTGTATCTCTCCAGATGTATGTATTTTTTCCACGCCTGCTTCCTCCTGAGATATTTGCACATGCCTCAGGCCCTGAGGTGGGCTTTCACAGAAGCCTGTTGCAGCACGTGGGCCAACCTCCCGGCAGAGCAGAAACCTTCCCTTTCTTTTCATACAGCCCACCACTAATAGCTTCTTTTTTTATTTAAACAAACCCTCAGCTATGCATTCTAGCTACGTGAAATGATTCACGAGCAACAGATGTTGGCACCAGTGCTAGCAGAGCAGCATTACTTGCTGTGTAGTTTCAGGTGCCAAAATACCAACGTTTATTAACCATCTCCACAGAGGCCTTGGGAGCTTAAAGGTAGAACTAACCAAATGGGGAAAGGTGAAAGAAGCCAGCGAAGGTAATATCAGCAAGGCATTCCAAAAGATGTATCAAAGCTCAACATGCCCCCGGTGCAGAAAATAAGAGAGGAAGGTGGCTTTCTTCATTTTTGCTTTGTTTGGATTGAAAGGTAAGTGTTGGGAGATTCAGGATGCTTTTAAATCGATAACAAATGCTTAGGAGCTTCTTATTTATTTTAAGGCAATTCTCAAGGTATAATGAAAGGTTTTAATCTTATTTCAAAGGTGTAATTAAAAAAAATCTCAGCTCCTAAGAAGGTCAATATGGCTTGCTAAACAACATTGATTTTTGGAATATCACTGATGCACGCAGTGATTTTTTTTTTTAAAGATAACTTCCATCCCTTCAAGAACTGTGTCAGATATAATTTGATTGGTAAATACCTACTCTAAATTAAACTGGCACAGTAATTACAGGTGCCTCATCAGAAGTTATTGGAAAATTATTCAAGAAGGTGAAGCAAGTCTGAGGACAGCACAGCACATTTCAAAGCAGAAGTTTGTTTGCAGGTGCTACCAGGGATGCTGATCCCCAAAAAGTCTCTGAAGTAAAAACATCATTCAACTGAGCACAGATGAAATTTTACTGCCAGTGAGCACAGAAGATGGATTTGAGCTCTGGTTGTTTGTTGTTTTTGTGGATATTTTTTTTTTTAATTTTTTGCTGAAATGGGGTTTTCTTTCCTGCAATTTGGGGTTTTCTCCTCCCTGTGAATCAGCCCAGCATTACAGCCAGAAGCAGCCATTTTATGATAGAAAGGCAACCTTGCCAACACAGGAGCCTGCAAACTGCCTCTTGCTCTTAGACCTTTCATTTTATGGCTCATTCAAATTATTCCATATAATTAGGCCACAGGAAATGCAATTGGGGCCATGGCCTTGAGAGGTGGGAGGGTTTAATGCATCGCTGCAGCTGCAGAGAGGGGTTTCTGATGCCAGAGAAGCCTTCTCACAGCAGGGACACCTTGTTAGCAGCTGCCATTGAAGACTGAAAATCAGACTTCCCTTCCATAATCCCTGATGGAAGTGGACTGGAAATGGGTTTTGGAAGCAGACTGAAAACAGATGAATGTGTGGCTGTAGCTCCTCAAACAGAGGTGTTAATGAGCACTGAATAAGGCTAAAAAGCTCTTCTTCTTGCTAGGTAAAATAACTAAGGTTCCAGTTAGTGCTCCAGCCACATTGTTGGCTTTCAGTGATGCTATGCTGACTTTCATTTTTATAAATATATATTTTTTTTATCTTCAGTATGCAAGAAAAAAGGTCCTGAACATAACTCTTTACACACCTGCACAACACACCTGGGCTTTGTCTTGCAAGTCTTCCCCGATAGCCTATGTTTGGTGCAGAGAACAGTTCTTTGCCAAAAAAGGTCTCACAAGTGAGAAGGGAACTCAGGTGCTTGTGGGTCTCTGCTAGGCTCCCCTGGGATGTCCTCGTGATGAAGATACCTGGAGGCAGAGATTTGACTGCAGCTTCCCTGCACACGAGCATTGTACAGTAGAGTTACTCCCAGGCAGATAGGGGAGTACTTCTCACTCATTCAGGTTTGCTTTAGGAACATCTGCATGCAGGGTATCACACACAGCTTCTGAGGGATCCCAGGCCACATCACGAGCTGCACACCCAGGGAGCCCCCCACATACCCCATATGGTTCCTGCAAGGAACCAGTGACAGCCTTTTCCGACAAGAGCAAACTGAAATCATCGCTTGAGGCATGCAGGAGATCAGACTGCAGCAATCACCCCATCAGGCTCCAGGGCTTCCACAGCCAGCCCCTAGGCATGGCCAGGGGTGGAGCACGAGCATCAGCCAAGCGTGGCCTTTCATAGGCAAAAAGCATTCCCTCTCTACAGCCTAATGCCAGCAAATATTAAAGAGGTGACAGAGGTGCTGCTTTGCTGCAGATGGAAGCCCCTAATAGCCAGGTACATACTGAGGTTTGTGCAGTGCATCAGCAAAATGAGAAAATCCTAGTCCATGTCGTCTAACTCCCTGCCATTCCAGCAGCAGATCTAAAATAATTCATATTCCACTCATACATGCATAAACATGCAAAATGTAGCTTGTTATTTGGCATTTCAACCTCTTGTACAAGCACCTGTCAATTTGAATTAGAGAATCTCCACACAGTGCCAGGCAGGCATGTAGGACAAAAATCACCAATATGTGGTTTTAGCTCATAGAGAAGAAAAAAATATTATTGCAGTATCTAAGATGCTCCTTTGTGCTTATAAAAGATAAACATTTTAGCCAGCCTGAGTCACAACAGTGACAAGATGGCTGCAGAAGCATGGGTGCATGCATGCATCTGCTCCTCATGCTCATCTCAGGAAATAAAGGTTATTCCACCTCTCACATATCAAACTGGATTCATCCACGTCAAGGGAGAAGAGATGAATTAATTTCTCATTGACTTAAAGAATCAAGGCATAACTTGGGATGTGGCTGCAAGAAGCAGCGCTGCATGAGACACGAGGTTTACCGTTGCTCTGAGATACTGCTCGAGCACCAACCATCCCTCACTGCTGCGTATGCTCAGCAGTAGCCTTCAGCTCCAGTTTCTCCTCAGGGCAGCTAGATGCTGTGAAATGATAACCCATGTCACTCTGGCTAACAGAAATTATATAATAGAGATGCCTCAGGAAGCAAAGCACTGTGTGATGGGGTCAGAATCGGTGCCTGCAGCATCTGGCCTGCCTGCACATGGTCCCCTTTTCCTCTCTGGGAAGGGAGGAAAAGAGAATAGGAGCAGTACATGAAACTGCTATCTCTGAAAGCAGTACTTCTATAGGGCAGGCCTAGTCCTAGGCTTATCTGGTAATTACGTCAGTCTTTTATTCCTGCTGTTCATCCATTCATTCATACATACAGAGAAAAAAGATTTCCATCGCAGTTCGCAGCTCTTATTTTTTCCTCTTTTGATAAATGAGTTCAAAGAAAACTTAATCTTTTAAAAGACAGTTAATTCCCTAATTAGACATTCGCCTCCCTCTCTCATCAGTAACACAGAAAACATATCAAGACAAATTACCTGTATGCAGATGCTTGGCAATAGCATCTTTTCTTCCTAAATCCCCTGGACAAATCCAGTTAGCTTCAGCACGAAGTCTGAGAGATAACACCTGAGCCCCCTCCTGACTTGCAGCAGGGAACAGACATGCCTCTTTTCTTTGCTAAGTTTCCATCTGCTCCCTTTGATCGTGAAGAGAAGACAGAGAAGTACATGGTGGAGATGAACGGTAACTTACATCCTTGCAGAAGGCTCCACTGGCAATTTAGGAGGGGAAATGGAGATGGAAAGGACCGCGCAGCAGCAGTACGGTGAGCAGATGCCCTGGTGAGATGCAAGGATGCAGTCAGCACAGGTACAGGGATGTATGGAGCTGGAGCAAAGAGCTTGGGTGTTTTGGGCTTCCCAGGGTCTGAGTTGTGGCTCACACTACGTACAGGTTCCTATTATCATGTGTGCAGGTCTGGGGGAATAAATCAGAGATGAGTACTGGCATTTTTGTAAATCACAGGCTGAGAAACTCTATGCCTGTTTCATTGCATTGTTATTTCAAGTAAATCTTCCACATGCACAGAAACAAGAACTAGGTTTTGAGCTTTGACCTGGCACCGGTGAGGCCACACCTCAAGTGCTTTGTTCAGTATTGGCCCCTCTCTGCAAGAAAGACACTGAGGGCCTGCAGCATGTCCAGAAGGGCAGCAGAGCAGTGAGAGGTCTGGAGCACAAGTGGAACAGCTGAGGGAACGGAGGGTGGTCAGTCTGGAGAAGAGGAGGCTCAGGGAAAAATCTAATTGCTCTTTACAATGACATGAAAGGAGGTTGTGGTGAGCTGGGGTTTGGCCTCCACTCTCAGGTAACAATGATAGGAGGAGAGAGGATGGCCTCACATTGCACCAGGGGAGGTTCAGGTTGGGTGTTAGGCTGCCCAAGGAGGTGGTGGGGTCGCTGTCCCTGAAGATGTGGCACGTTCATGTGGTGTCTTAGGGGTCATGGTGAGGATGGACGGCTGGTTGGAAGAGATGTACTTAAAGGTCTTTTCCTATCTTAAAAATTCTGAGACTTTGGGAACTTCATGAAAGACAATTGCAGCTGGGAGCATGACTCTAATCAAGGAAGGTAAAGAGAGAAGCCACTGCTCAGCCAAATCTGGGGCTTGGTATCCCTCCAGCAAGGCTGGCATTTGGCCACATGGAGGCTCTTCCTGCATCCCCTAACCATCCAGGGGTCTGCAACACCCCTGCTTGCTAATAGCATACCCAAAATCTCACACCATATCAGTGTGCATGTCTCACCATGATGATTCTGAGACCAATGGGGAATGGATCCCAGACTGCTGTGGAAACAAGCTACCATCAGCCTGCAAATCCCCCCAAGCAAAGCTGTTAGTCCCAAGCCCCATTTCTACTTAGCACCAAGAAGATACTCCTGTCTATCTCTCCCTACTGCAGGAGCCCAGGCTCTGTCAAAGGACCATGAAATGCAGCTAGACGCCAGTGGAAAGAACACGAAGGAGTGTTTGAGCAACATGCTCATCGACGAGCAGTCTCTAATTATGCCAGCAACAGAGACAAAAAGCACACACCAGCTGACACTTCGCTGGATCTCCACTGTGCTAACTGACTGCAATTAATGAGACGGCGGCACTGAAGCTAGAAAGAACCCAAGCCAGAATGAAACCTCACTGATTAATTAAAAATTAAGAGATACCCAGAAGAAAATCTTCCCTGCCTCCTTCCAGTCAGCTGCCAACCTTGTGAAAGCTTGCCGGGGGAGGTTCAGGGCAATTCTGAAAGGAAAGCAAGCCCTGAAATTCAAAGTGATGCTTCAAGACTGGCCAGAGAACTTTCAAGTTGTCCATCAACTCCATGCAAATCATAAAATCCAATGGCAGGTGGCCAGTGATGGCCTGAAAATGAATAGCCAATCATGCTGTTAACACTGTAGGGGACAATTTGCATAGATTTATGTTCTGCTAATGCTTGTAAGGTGCAGTAGAACAGAGGGGGTAGAAAAAAGTTCTGATCAGCCAAGAGCTGGAGTGGAACCTGTGCTGAGAGCAGGAAGAATACACAGAGGAGAGGCAGCCCACAGCCAGCACAGCTTCCCAGTGTCACTACAACTCTTGTCCTGTGAGAAGCAAACCTTTGGCCAGGAGCTGGGATGGAGAGGAGATGAGCAGGTTCAGCTCAGCTCTAGTCCTTTCCTGAATCAAACCCAGACAGGACCATAAACCAGAAAGGATTGTAACATACATGGGATTGAACTGCTGCACAAACGGTCTCCAAGAATATATCAGGGTTCAATCCAAGGCTCAGCAGACAGTGGTCACCTTTTCTCCATTTTCAAATGGCTCTTGGATCCGATCACTGCATATTTCTTGCCAGCATAGAGAGCTATAAAAAAGCCAAGAGAAATCCTTTCATTTTTAACAACAGCAGGACAGTAACACTCACTGACTTCACAGCTGCTGTGGAGACTAGCAGTATTTTCAGTGCATTAAGAGACACAAACAATGCTTTAACCACAAAGCATTATTAGTAAAAACACTCTGGCACCAGAAAGCCTTTTGACTTGTATTATGCTAACCTCATTTAGCTCAAACTTATTATGCTCCGAACTGTTCTCTAGGTCAGATTCAGACTGGAGTCATAAACATGTATATGTGAATATATATACATATGCATAAAGGCATATATTTTAAGAAGATCTGTAAATTTTCACCAAGTAGACAAAGCCGTCTATCAAAAGACAAGGGCTTGATTTCTAAAAGCAAACACAGTTCAATTTGCACTACTAAAAACACAGTCAGTATTCACCCACCCAAGTGAGCCCTGACTGCATGCTGAGAGTTCCTCCTGGCCTGCCCTGGGATGCTCCTATCACAAAGCCAGGTGCTCACATGCCTCTGAGGTCGGGAAGGTGTCCAGAAGTGGAGAAAAAAAGCAAACAATAGCATCCTTCTCCTGTCTCTTTTTCCTCTTTTTTTACTGGCACAGAGGCAGCTCCATCCCATATCAAACTTAGCTTCTGCCACGTACAAGAGTCTATGCTGGCAAAGATATGTGCTGTGTATGGTGACTGGTGTGCACCTCAGGCAAAACTAAAGGGCCACAGAGGGAAGCACCAATACACCCAGCAGGATGCCCTGCAAACCTGTGATGGTGGAAGAACGCCAGCCCTGTGGGGCAGCACATCTGAACGCAGCACTGATTGCCACCAAAACAGCAGCCACACACATACACCTGGACTAGAAAAAAAGCAAAGAGTCCTGATGTTGATATCCATGTTTCCACAAATGAGCCCAAATTCCTCCCCTGGACAGTATGGCTATGCAGTCAGCTTTCAGCTGACTTTACCACTTTAGCTCATCCCATCTGTTTTATTAGCAGAATTAGTATCAAGATATTCACAATCTTTAGGGGGACTTTCTGCTATAAACGTAATTTGCCTTCCATGTCACTCATGGGAAATCAAGGACTGAGACAATCAATGAAGTTCACAGGACTTCTTCTGCCTCTGTGATTCTGAAAAAGTCCAGAGAGAACAGAGTTTCTGTGCCAGGATGAACTTAGGTGTTAATTCAGGCAAATATATTATTTTCTTCAACTGTGCTAACCCACACAGTCGGCGATAATAACCTTCATGTTAGATTGCTTTGACCCATCACCACTGCTCAGTATTTGGAGAACGATAGATCCCAGTTCTGGCTTTCTGCCACATCAAATAAAGTGGAAAAGCAATTTATACAGCCTCTTGGAGGAAAATGACAGCGCTCAAAGGAAAGGTGCTCAAGATATAATTTAATTTAGGCGTGATGAGCTTCACACATCTCTCCTGGGTAAGCCAGTCAATGAAGTCTCCATCTCATCCATTAGAAGGGTTAGATTTTTATTTTTTTTAACCCTCCCAGAGCAGGCTAGGAGATAAGGTCATAGATATTAATAAAGGTGGTTAAAATAACACCTAAATAACTGTGAGATACCATCAGCCTGGAATACATCTCTGGGGAACCTGTACCAGAGCTGGGAGATGCAGCTGAAGCAGTGGAGCTGGACTCCTTTAGAACCCCCAGGGTCCCATTTCCCTTCTGCTGACTCAGGTGACGCACTGGAACAGATTGCCCAGAGAAGTTGTGGATGCCCCATCCCTGCAGGCATTCAAGGCCAGGCTGGATGTGGCTCTGGGCAGCCTGGTCTGCTGGTCAGCAACCACTAACTCCAGAGATCCTTTACTCCCCCCTACAATTTTGTGATTTCTGCTTTCTCCTGCTGGCCCCCATAGCAGTAGGGTCTTTCCTCAGAGTGAAGTTCAGCATATATTTGCATCCTCACATTAACCATCAAGGAGAAAAAAAAATCAACCCTGAAAAGCCCACTTGTGACTACTGCTGCCAGAGGAGGTGTATGTGAAATGTTTACCTCCAGCTAATAAATCTTTTCCTGCAACAAAATGGGCCAAAAGCACAGAAGCGAAATGGCAACTTGACCCTGTCAAGATCCTCCACGGCGGCAGGAGACCATAAAACATGAGGTGCTACCTCTTCCATCACCTCTCTCCTCTGCCCACAGGACACTACAGCCTCCCTGCAACCTTAGGGTGTTGAGCTGAAGCTAAGTTCTCGTGGGGCAGCATGAATAATTAATGGGAAGCGCTTAGTGCAGACATTCAACACAGCTCTTGCACTGGGCATTAATCAGTCAGCTGGCGGACTCTCTAATAGCAACTGTGGCTGCGGTTTTCCCTCTCTGTATAAATGCAAGGCTGACATCACTGTGGGCCCGGCTCACCCACTGTGTTTGTACAACTGGAGCAAAACAAAAACGTCACACACAGTACAGACGCTGGAGAAGGCATAGAGGGGCAGTGAGGCTAGCTAATGTCAGCCACTGCACAAAGGAGAGAAATGAGAAAGTTTGGAAGAGAAAAAAAAAAAAAAAAGTGGATGTTATCAGAAAGAGAGGCAGGAAGAGCAGACAAACTGAGGAAGCCCTTGTAAAAGTTGGGGAAAAGCAGTAACACCAGGTACCAGGGATGAGTAGGAAAGCTGCCTCCCCTAGCTAAAAAACACAACTGTGAGAAAGAGCCTGGGAGAATTAGAAAAACAGATAGGGATTGTAAAGTCTCTGCTGCAAACGAATATTTGGAAAATTTGAACATATGCTACCCAGTGATAAACATCCCTCAGCACGCAGCGAATTAACTGAGGAGCTCGCTGCACCCAGATGCTTAATTAACTATACTGTGCACAACCTACTTTGAGTGGAAAGCAGAGGAGAGCAGTAACCAGCAAAGCACCTTGCTATGGGATGGGTCCTTGGCTGTCACAGGTCACTGCCAGGCTGTGGGACCCCCATGAGCATTGGTTGCTTTCTGCCCAGAGTGCAGCTTGTAGGAGATAAACTTGCACCTGATTTCAGAAGTGAGAAAGTGAAAAGGGCTTTGGTTGTTCTGCATGATCGGGGCATGAACGAGGGCTTGGTAAGTCTGCAGCTGACAGGCCAGCACCACTTTGGGATGACAGGCAAAGGCACGAAAGCTCCTTCCCCACCCTCTGATGGCACAAGAAATAGGACGTGAAGACCTAGAGCAAGCAAAAATTTGTCACCCCTGTTTGAATGCCAGGGCCATTATCTGGAAAATAAAATGGCAGTGTAGTTCACCTAACTGATTTCTTCATACATAAAATAAGAAAAATGAATGCTGTTAGTATCCCTGGGCTTCACAAGACTCGAAGTATCAGCCTGTTTTCTAGCCCACAGGCTGGCACTCAGTGCCCCACAAACTCTGCTGTTCTTGCGCTCCACAGAAGTGCTATGTTCCCACAAACACGATTTTCTCCTATTTGGATTCTTAGGCACAACCAAAAATTATAAAAAGCTGATTTGCCACATGTCCAGAGAGACAGCAAGCTCCTGCCTAGAGGTTTACAGCATTCCTCAAAGACTCCGCTAATTTCCCAGGAGACAGCGACTAAAATTCGGCCTTTCATCTGCAGCCTCCAGTTAAATCCCCTTCAACATGTTAATTTGGGAAATCAGCTTTCAGTCTTATTTTCCGGGATTTTCCATACCAGACTCATCTATGCAGTGGAGCATAGCCCTACTTCAGAGATACCTGTCCTAATCCAAACACTTGGATTCAAATCCTCCATTTTTCTGCAGTGGAGGGGATTCTGATCAGTGGTTGTTTTTTGGTTTTTTTTTTTTTTTTTTGGAGTTGGGTCTTCATCTTGTGAGATGTGTCTTCAGCTTCCTGGCTTCCCTGCACTTAACACTGCAACCTCTTTAAGGTGCACCAGCGATAAAATTTGGGTCAAACCCTTAAGCTCTTGAATGACTTTGCAGCTCATGACAAACTCCTGGAGCAGATCTCTAATGCTGCAAGAATTACAAAGAGAAACCTCACAGACTAATTAAGCCTCCCCTTCCGAGCAATCCCACTTCTGATTTTTATCAGCCCCCACGCTGGATTCCTTGCTGTGTGTGTTAATGGCCTTCTTGTCAAAGTGCAGTTAATCCTCTAGATGCTAATTCCAAAGCATTATTTCTAAGTTAAATATACAGACAGTAACAATGAGACGATGCCAGAAATTAGAAAGTAAAAATCCAAGGAAAGTCTAGCAATAAAAGAGGATAGGGAAAAACATAAGCATCTCCTTGGTTTCAGACCTAGGTAGTGTGAACACTGCTGCAGTGATTTACAGTCTCGTTATATGGATCCAGGACACAGTTACATCCCTGGAGGTTAGCAATACCAACAGCAAAACCATGAAAAATCTTGGCTTCTGTTCGCAGGGCAAAGAACTGACTCAGAAGGTCTCAATAAACTCAAGTCAGGCTTCTCTACCAGCCATTAGGAAATATTAAATGGCATATGTTTGCCTTCCTCCACACATCTCTAGGTTTCAGGGGTGGCGCAACAAGCTGGCCGCTGACTGCAGAGGTTTGCAGGACAACAAAGCCTTTTACCACTCTCACAGTTAATAGCACTGATTTGGTGTTCACACTGCCTGCAAAGACACATCCCTTTCCCCTTGCTCATCTCAAAATAATTTGCATGGGCTTCCCAAGCACTAGCATGGCTTATTTTCCATGCCCTTCTAATGTTGCTATTAGGTGGCTGCTCTGTCAATCACACTTTCGTTCACAGGGTCCCACTGAGGAAAACCTGCTGCACTGTAAGAGGTTTGGGTAAACCTTCCAAATTCTGAGGATTTCATCAACTTCTGTGCTTCGTCTGCTCACTGATCTCATCCTTTCATCTCATCCCATTCACTCTCTAGGAGAATAACACCAGCCTTGAAAACTATCTTGCTCCTGTCTTTTCTGCAGCTGCGCCACTTCCTGTGCAGTTTAATCTGATCCCCAGTCAGTGATATTGTTCATGTCTGATGCGTGGTCAAATCATGGCTTAATCTAAGCAGATAAAGGAAGGGCTGCCCAGCTCTGCCTCACACTTTTATCCAGGAGGAGATTCGCAGAGCAGCACAGAGCAGTCAGCAGAGCGCTCTCCTGAGTTGATTTTGCAGACAATCTGCTTTAATTACACTCATATATGAATTAAATATCGCCCATCCCTCACAAACACATTCTGGACGGTTTGCCAGGCAGACATGGGATACAGCCAAAGATAGGACTCTATTTGGTTGCAGAGTGGACTGCTGTGCAGTCCTGGAAAACCTCTGCACACAACTTTTTTGCAGGCATGATTATTAACAGCCATGCTTGCATACAGACACAGATGTAAACCAATTGCTGGCAAGGTAAGTACTCTATTTAAACATATGACCATTATGTTTTGTGTTTTATTATACTTTTTAAGTTGAAGTTCTAAATATTCAGTTATTATTTTATGAGTTCTGAAGTGAGTTTTATTCTAAGCATAGTCCAAAACCTGACAAAAGAATTTCATGTTTCTCAAATATATGCTTGGAGCATCACTGTATAAATACCCCAGCATTTGGGACACCTGAGGGACAGCTGGAGGCAACAAGGTTTGCTGAGCAGAGATGGTACCTGAAGAGAAGCAAGATACACACTGCAGATCAGAGACTTCATGAATACAGTGAAGGATCATTGCATTGAATGGGAAAAGCTAGAAAAACTTAAGGAGCTGGGAAAAATTGAAGTGGAACGAAGCTCAGAACCTTGCAAGAAGCAGGTCATGAATTTGGGGTTCACTGAAACATTTACTTTGCACAGGGGTTGGTAACACAGTGCTGGAAAGCAAGAGTTGGTCAATGCCCAACGAACCAGACTTGGCAAGGGGTGCAAAGAAGTATAAGAAAAGCTTCTACACACATCAATCACAAAAGTTAAGTCCAAGGAGGCATTTTCCCCCTTAGAGAACAATACAGGTAGGCTGGTAACAACAGGCAAGGATAAGGTTGAGGTACTCGGATCTCATTCTTGATGGCATTTGGAAAGTCATGGCAGTCAGGTGAAGTCCCTGGTGACTGGATAAAAAGGCAACAATCAGTATCTAAAGGGGGGCTGTAAGAAGGAAGGGGACAGACTCTTCAGCAAGGTGCGTGCAACAGAACAAGGGGAAATGGCTTCAAACTAGAACAGGGGAGATTTCGATTAAACATAAGGTTTTCAGGTTGGTTTTGCTTTTTTTTTAAACAATAAAGTGATGAGGCAGTGGCACAGGAGTCCCAGGGAGGTGGTGGTGCCCCATTCCCATGACATTTGAGGTCAGGCTGGACAGAGCTCTGAACACTCATGGAACTATAGGTGTCCCCGTTCAGTGCAGGGAAGTTGGACTAGATGGCCTTTAAGGGTCCCTTCCAACTGAAGTGATTAGATGATTCTGTAACTCTACGAAAAGATTTTGGCAAGGCATTTACACAGTGTGAGTGTCTGAACCACCACCACACCATGCCTGTGTGTGGGGGGGGGGGGGGGCATTTCCTTTCAAATTGTAGTAGGAAAAATATTTATAGCAGAGCCAGAGATGTAGATTGCTGCTTGAGCAATTGGTGCTGCATTTACCATAGTACAGTGGGATTTTAGAGGTGTATTGCTTAGCTCTTACTGCTGCTGTAAGCCTGCCTGCCTGATAAGTTATCTCTCCGTGGAAAATTATGCATGCTACTTCTGAGCAAGTGGGGAAAGGAGGGCTGTGTGATGGAACACTACAAGAGCCTGGCTGTAGGATTAGCTGCAAGGTTGGGTTTGCTCACTTGTGAGTTCTCCTGGGCCAGCTAGCTTGTGCTTACCAGCCCAGCCTTGAGTAGAGGGTGTTACTAAAGCACAAAGGCACACATGAAGGCCTCTCCAGAGTTTACATAGAAACACATGATAGCGTGTGCAATTTCATTAAATCCAGACTACTCTTAGCTCTGAGGG